CTTTAGCTGTTATTAATTCAGCTATAATGCAGGACCTTCTTACAACCAAAGAGCCTGGCGAACCACTCAGAATAGCACAGTGTCCTCACACACACCTTGGCATGCAGTTGTATTTCCCATGGCCATTGTATCTCCACTGAAAGTTTAATATTTTCCTGTTTTACTTATTGCAAGCAGTCAGGAAAGTTACTTAGAACAAAAGATAAATTATCCTTAATTTCACCACTTAGAGGAAAGCAATGTTAACATCTGGTATGTGTTCCTCCCAGGCTCTTCTCTTTTTTTTTTTGAATATATATATACACACACACACTCTCTCTCTCTTTAAAACAATGTAAATAAAACCACTATTACATAGTCCGCTTTTGTTACTTATAGCTATGTCATGAACATCTTCTCACATTAACAAACTGATTTGTGTCACTACTTTGATGCCTAACTGTAGTCCACTGGAAGGATGAGTCTTAGGTTATGCAACCAGTCCATTATTGATAGATATTCAATTGACTTCCAAGTTTTCATGTCTATAAAAATGCTTTGGTTTTAAAGGCACCAGCTTCACTATTTGGCCTAGAGTTTTTCTTGAATTTGTCATGGGAAAGTGTATACTGTTTCCACATTTACTGTGACCTTGAACCAGTTTTTATAAACCCAGTTGGGAAGACTGAATAGAAACTCCCTCATGGAGTAAGCTTGGTGCCCAGTTTTGTTTAGAGTCAATTCAATATAACATATTTAACTATATTCAATTAAAATATATTTTTTAAACATCTACTATGTCGAGATACCTTACTGATTCCTGCTAGGAACCAAGATGAGTAAGGTGCAATCCTTCCCTTCAGGGAAGCCCAGATGGGAGCACAAGTATCTGATCAGCATATAGGCAGAAGAATCGTGAGGTTATGGACCAGGGGGAGGACATGTCTGTTCGCTGTGACCAAATCATGTTAGTTTTATGTCACTAGCATGTTGAATAAGCAAGACTCCTGAGATATAGTTATAAAAGACATTTTATTTTTGTCTCCTTGTGCCCTTTAAGTTTCTGCAGTGGAAGGAAGTTCTAAATGAAAACATAGGCAGGGTAACTTGGGAGGACTTAAGTGACCTTTCTTAGAAGAAATGTCTGCACTGAGACCTGATGGCTGAGTGGAAGTTGGCCAGATGGAGGGGAGTGGGTTATGGAGGCAGGAGGAGGGAAGAGAAGAGTATTCCTGACATAGAGTAAAGGTGAGGAGGTGAGAAACAGTCTGATGCCTGAGAGGGACTCAAAGGTCAGTATAGGGGGTGTAGTGGGTAGGGGAAGGAGTGGCTGTTGGGGTGACTGTAGGGCACGGCTGTGGAGGGCTCCTGTGGTGGGAAAGATTTTCTCTGTATACCCCAGGTTTTAGCTTAGGTCTTCATACAAATTGAGCAGTAAATAAATATTATTGAAAGTCAAGTCTGAAAATCATAGAGATTTTTTATTCTTTTCTCACCATTCCGAACTATGTGTCAACTTCCCACTTCTCTCCACTGGGAAATTTGAGAGCTCTCTCCAAATGGTGTTTGGATTATAAGTCAGGGGGAGGATAATATTTGGGTCCTTGAAGCAGAAGCTCCACATGGAGCTTGTTTGCTGGTCACCAGGTTTTCTCAGTGACTAGAGGTGAGTGAAGGGTTGAAGCCTCAAGGTCAAGAGTGATCACTCAGATAAGGTGAATAAATTTGACTCGTTCAAAACACAAGCATTTCAGAGGTCATTTTCCTAAGAAAAAATGTTGATCAATGGTATTTTTCAGGAAATCAACTCTGTTGAAATATAATTTATACTGCTTTTTACTTTGTCTTCTTTCAGTGAATTAAACTATAACCAAGCTTATTTCTTGATTTGCATTTCTCCTTAATTATTCTGAGCTAAGTTCTCCCCTGCAGAGCTCCAGAAAATGGATAAAATATGCATCTGAGTGTTGAACAGCAGCGGCAGACACCTACACACCAAACCCTGGCTGTGTGGGACGCTGCCATTTTCCCCAAGTCATTTCAGGTCAAAAACACCTCTGCTCCCAAAGAATAGCATTTATGGGCCCCCACTCAAGGTCTTTACAGGCACCGTATAACGTGCGAATCAGGGAGCAGTGCATTGTTCTGCACCCTCCCGAGAATAAGTTCAGGGCTACTTTTTTGCCCCTATAGGCATAGACATACATCTCCAATTATTCAGCCCAATGGGAAACCTTGTGAGTTACCTCTGTGGGGCTTGAAGTTCAAAATCAGAAAATGATTTTGCTTTATTCCCATTCAGTGAACAGAGCTTTTTTAAAAATAACCTTAATACATATCACTGTGGAACTTTGGAAACTATGGAAAATGATGACTAACATAAACACTATCTGTGATACCATAGACCTAGACCCGGTTGGTATGCTCTTTAGCTTTGGGCCTTTTGCCCTCTGCCTTCCCAATAGCAGATGTAATGCCTAGAGGTGTCACCGGCATCTTGCAGCCTTGAGGATGAAATTCACATGCTAAGCATGAAGGAGCATGAGATGGGAACCTGGATCCTCAACGACATGGTTGAGGCGACATTCCAGCTCTCTAGTGCCTACCTCTAAACTTTTTGAGGCCTGAGTTAAATAAACCTTTATGCCTTTAAGCCACTAGTCTTTCTTTTGAGTTTAACATACGTTCAGAAAAATGCACCACAGGTTTACAGCATGATGAACTTTTTCAAAGCTGATATACATATAGATATGTATGCTAGTAATACATGGGTAGCTATGTAATATTTGTATATCAAGAAAAAACGTTACAATAAGTGATTTCCAGTTGCTCCCACTTCCTTAGGTAACCAGTGTCTGCAAGTAACCATAGATTGGTTTTTGTGTGGTTTGCAACTTCGTAAGAATGAAATCACAGTATTTTGTTTGTTTGTTTCTGGCTTCTTCTGCTCAACATTGTATTTGTGAGATTTATCTGTGCTGTTGTGTGTAGCATCATTTGTTCATTCTCTTTGCTTTATGGTAGTATAACTTATAAATATACTGCAATTTATTTGTTTATGCTGCTGTTGGTGGACATTTGAATTGTTTTCAGTTTGGGGCTATTACAAATGGTACTGCTATAAACATTCTTGTACCTATTTTTAGTGAATGTGTATACAGTTTCTGTTGGTAAATACCAAGGAACAGAATTGTTGGACTGTGGCTCGCCTACGTTCAGCTTCAGTAGATACTGACAAAGTGTTCCCAAAGTTAAGTTCCAGTTTACATTCCAACCAGCACTATGTGAGCATTTCAGTTGTTTCATATCTTTGATACCATTTGGTAATATTTGTCTATTTCTCTTTAACCATTCTGTTGAGTATATAGTGATACCACATTGTGGTTTAAATTTGCATTTCCCTGATGGTTATAGAAGTTGAACACTTTTGTATATATTTATCGATTTATGGGCCATTTGGACATCTTTTTTTTAAGTTTCTGTTCAGACCTTTTGCCCACTTTTCTATTGTGTTGTTTGTCTGTCTTTTGTTGTTGTTCAATTTATGTATGTATTCTTTTTTTGTAGATTATATATATATTTTATTGAAGTATAGTCAGTTTACAATGTTGTGTCAATTTCTGGTGTACAGCAGAATGCTTCAGTCATACATGAACACACGTATACTCATTTTCATATTCTTTTTCACCATAATTACTATAAGATATTGAATATAGTTTCCTGTGCTATACAGTATGAACTTGTTTATGTAATTTCTGTATGTATTCTGAATATGAGTTCTTTGTTGGGTATATATTTTGCAAACATCTTCCCTCCCATTTTGTAGCTTAATTTTTCACTCTCTTAATGATTTTTGATAATCAAAAGTTTTTATTTTAGTAAAATTCAATTTATCTTTTTTTCTTTATGGTTAGTTTTTGTGTTCAATTTAAGAAAGCTTTGTCTACCCTGCCCCTATGGAGATATTTTTATATGTTTCTTTTTTAAAGTTTTATTGTTTTATTTTAGCTTTTACATTTAATTACATATATATACATATATGTATATATAGATTCACACATATGTATTATATATGTAATATATATGTATTTTATATGTGTGTATATATATATATATCGATTTTTTTGTGTATGGCATAAGGTAGAATTCAAAACGCAGTTTTTCCCTCATGGAAAAAAAATTGATCAAGTCCCTTTCATGAAAGATCATCCCTTCCCCAGTGCACTGCAATGTCCCCTTTGTCACAAATGCTTAAGCCATTTCAAATTGTTCTTTTTTGTTACCAGTAGCCAGAGAATCACATCTGATGTATGTATATGTATGTGAGTGTGTATACACATATTTTCCTTCATACCATAAATATTCATTAAGAATATAGTTTTTCATATGTGCTAAATATTCTGTTATAATGATGCAGCATCATCTATTTAACCAATACTTGGATGCTGGACATTTGCTTCTAACTTTTGGTTATTATAAATGATTCTAAAATGAATATCCTTGTCCATAAATATTTGCACATACATCTCATTATTTTCTTTAAGTAAGTTCCTAGAAGTGGAATTAAGGGTTAAAATGTACAAATTTTTAAAGCCTTTGGATAGATACTGCAAAATCAACATAGAGTTAAACACAACCTGAAGAAATGTGTGGAGAATGCACTTTTAAAGTACCACAATTCTGCAGTGGAGAAGCTGATAATACTGCTTTCAAAATACAAATATATTTATTTAACTTTTCTCTCATAATCTTCACTGATTTTTTTCTACTATTTACCTTCCTAATAACAAGAGAACTCAGCAGATTGGAAATTACTTGCCCTAATGTGAGATTGGCTGTCTGGGGATACAATAAAAGATGTCAACATAAAAGCCTGCCTGCTTATTTCTAGTACTCACGGCTAAGAATGCAGGTAATGGGGGCAGGTAGATTTCATATTCAACATAGTATTCCTGCTTTCTTTTTCAATGCATAGAGTCTTTTTTTCCTTTATTTCGCTGTTGACATTTTCTTTTCTACAGGCTGTGGAGGACCCAGGAATGGAATGGAATGGAATGGAGATAATAAGGTGCTTTGGAGGGATGTAGGACTTGACTGGTGGAGGAGAGGGGGAGATGGTGGTAGAAAACTGCTCCTAAGTACTGCACCCCGCAACTGTTCATGTGTTGTCTTCACAGCTGAGGAAGGCATGGAGAGATGGAGGAGAGGACAAGCAGAGTCGGGGGAGGTGGAAGTCCCACCTGAGGGGATTATGAAAGACTTAGAAAGACTGCAGAGTAATTGTCGTCATCTCTCTTTGGCCAGAGCAGACTGAGCCAAAGATGCCACGGTGGCTATTTCTGCAGAGTTTCAGAAACGAGAACCTTCTGAGTTAGTGAAGGAGCCTTCAGTTGCCATGGTGATGCAGGGCTTAGTGGGAGGGCTCTGACTTACCTTCACAAAGGCGGGGATTTATTCTTCAGAACCAAGTCAAAAAACTGTATCCGTTAAGGTTCGGGAGCAGGGTCTCTGCAAGCAGATTTGAAAGGCTAAGAAGGGCTGGCTGGAACCTGAGCCGCAGCGCCAGCACTGCAGTCCCCCAGCACTTGTCGGTCTGCGGTTGCCTCCTGAGCCCACCCAGAGAAGTCTGCCCCAGAGGAAGGGCCGTGTATGGTGTGTGCTGGATCTAAAACAGTGGTGCTTGGGGAGTAATTACAAGCACAGGGGAGGAAACTTACTCGTATCACTGAGGAAGGCATTAGGGCAGCCTGTGTGTTCCTGGAGGGGCAAGGAGGTGTGTGTACCTCCCAAGAGGGGCTCACCCACCACCACTGATGGTCTAGGAAGGCACCTAGGCCTGTGAGGGATGGAGCCCTAAAAGAGATGGAAATGGATGCTCTGAGGAGGGGTCCCCAGAGGAGCCTCCTGTGCTCTGGCAGACCAGTCAGACTGTGGCCAGACTTCGGCTGTCTTTGAATAAGCATCTCCGTTTTCATGGTACTGTACTTTCCGTTGTGTTGCCATTGTCGCTGTTGTTTGTTTTTACTTACTTTCTTCATCATGTACCTTTTAAAAATCTCTGATTTTTCTCTTGGCCAAAGAAATTTGAAGGAAAAAAAATGTTTCAGACAATTGTAGGTTGAATTGTGCCTCACAAAAGTAGTATATTGAAGTCCTAGGCCTGGTACCTATGAACATGACCTTATTTGGGAAAAGAGTCTTTGAAATAGGGTGGGTTCTAAATCCAGTGGGTGGAGAGAGAGATTTGCAGACAAGAGATTCACTCCCAGGGAAGATGCCCATGTGAGGATGCAGGCAGAAGCTGGAGTGGAGCATCTGTAAGTCAAGGAACGCCAAGGATTGCTGGCAACCAGCAACCATCAGGAGCTAGGAAGAGGCAAGGAGAAATTCTCCCCTAGAGGTTTAGGGAGAAGCGTGGTCCTGCCAACACCTTGATTTCAAACTTCTGGCCTCTAGACTGTGAGAGAATAAATCTCCATTATTTTAAGTCGCAGTGTACTGGAATTTGTTACGGCAGCTCCGGGACCTCATGCACAGGCTGTGAGGCTTAGAGCACCCTTGCTGTGTTGAGTGACTGAGGAGATCTGAGCAAATAAATACATAGGGGAAGCAAATCCAGAACTGCATTTAGTTACAGTATGGTTCTAGCCTATAGCAGTTCCTTACAGCCTGACTTACTCCAGTCACCTACAGGGATTCAGAGGCGCTGAGACCTTACAAGCATATTCTATAGATCTAACTGGACTTTAACTTTTTCAAAATTCTAGTTTAAAAGCACATAATATATATTTACAACCTTGACCATTTTTAAGTATGTGGTTTAGGGATAAGGATATAGTGGTCTCCCCCTTATCCTCGGTTTTGCTCTCTTCAGTTTCAGTTACCCACGGTCAACTGCAGTCTGGAAATACTAAATGGAAAATTCCAGAAATAAGCAATCCATAAATTTTTAACTGAGTGCCGTCCTGCATAGTATGGTGAAATCTAGTCCCGTCCTGAACCATCCCTCCCGTGACAATGATCAGCTCGACAGTCAAGGTAACATTTATTCTACTTAATAATGGCCCAAAGTGCAAGAGCAGTGGTGCTGGCAAGCCAGATATTCTACTGTGCCTAATTTATAAACTGAATATTACCTTAGGGATGTCTGTATAGGAAAAAGCAGGGTATACATAGGGTTCAGCACTGTCTGCAGTTCAGGCATGCACTGGGGATCTTGGGCTGTGTTTCCCTCAGATAAGGGGGACGAGGCTACTGTATTCACAGCATTGTGGGACCTAAACTTGTTTAGAATCAGAAGATATGTACTTTTAGAAAGTGATTAACATACAATTATTCTTATTCATCACTTGCTAATTATTGATTACAAGCTTGAGTCTTGGTATTGATTCTCTCTCTTAAGGGTACAAAGTTTACACTGAGGTTAATATGAGGTTTTGGATTTTGAAATTATAACGAGGTCATCTCTTAGCAACTAAGCTTAAAGCTAATGTCATGCTTCATTTGGAATTCTTTGTTAAATTGGCTTTGGTCACTCAATGCTAGGTTTAAACAGTAAGAGAGAGTGTGGGGGATGTTCTTGCTCTATTATGATAAATGTAACTACTCAAGGGTACTGCTGTGGACACTGGGATGTAGAATTCAGTCAGTCTGGCACAGTGCCCACCACTTTACAGAATGAGGAGAAAGCTGACATTCGGAAGAAGAGAGGCTTTGTGGAGGAAGTGTCATCAGAAGTGACCTTCAGGAACAAGTTCAGTGCCGTCACAGGCAGCCCTGAGTTAGTTATTACAGAAAGTGCAGAGGAGATCTGGGTCAGAGGTGAGGAGCACGGTGGGCATCCTAAGGAAGCCAGCACATAAGCCAGGAGGAGTCTTCCAGTCTATCTTGAGCTTCACCCCAGTCTGTGTGCCCTCATCAACCAAGACAGGTGTGTGTGGGGTTCCTCTTGGTCCCCTGGCTTTCATCTTGCTCAGTATTCTGAGCCTGACCTCTCTGGGATGTACTGGCTCAGGTTGAAGAAGGGATACATACCAACTTCTTCCCACCTGCGAGCCCCCTGAGCCAGCTGCTTTGAGTTCTTGACCCTGAGGCTTCTCAAGCAGAAGCCTCTTAGAAGCAGGGAGCACAGACGCAGCACTTTCTTCCACCCTCCCCTCTGTTAGGACATTTTCATAGATGGTGGTCATCTCCTGGGTGTGGCACTGGTCAGTGGGCTAGTGGTTACCGGTCTACATTGTGGTCGGGGTAGCCTGAGGTTGTATCTAGGCACTTGCCCGGGGGGGGGGGGCATCTTCTCATTACACAGAACACACCCACCCTATTGGCTCAGTTCTAATGCTTCTGATGTTGGGGATGCAGGCTAGGGTTAACTGGTTCCATTCAAAGAAGATTGGAAAAAAGCCCTCTTTCTTTAGTCGAGATAGTGCCTCAACAACAAAACCCTGGAAAGCTCTGTAGCTTATAAGCCAAAGTTTTATTTCTTGCTTTTGCTGAATGTCCATTGTGGGTTGAGTGTGGCTCAGTCCCAGCTTATCTTTACTCCGGGGCGCAGGCGGATACAGCAGGCTCTAACTAGAACATTGCTATTTCCTGCTGGGGAGGAGTTACGTGAACCACCCATTAGCTCTTAAAACTGCCGCTTGGAAGTTATCCAGAGTTCTTCTGCTCCATTTCTAGCCACCAAAGTCAGTCATATGGCCACGTCTGCTGTCAGTGGTATCGGGAAATGATAATCCTCCCCCGGGGAGTAGTACAGAATATTTGTGGAAAATAATACAATGTACCCAATGTGGTCATCAAGGGAGTTACTTCTCAATTTTATTGTAAAATTATCACCTTAACTTACACACTGATGGGACCTGTATTTGCCAACTCATGAAACAGTGGGAGAATCTGAGTGGTAGGCACTGCTGCTTAGGTGGTTGAAGGTCTTTCAGGTTGGGTAAGGAGCTGAGCAATAACAGTTGCAAAGTGCAGTGTGTGATTTAGGTTGGAGGAACGGAGTGGGAGGCAAGCTTAAGAAGGAAGGTGGAGCCTGGGTGTGGAGTAGGAAATCTTCAGAACTAGGGGGTTTAGAATTATTCTTTAGGCAGTGAAATCCCATGGAGGATTTTAGAGTGTTGGAATGCATACTCTTCCTAGGAAGACTCCCAAAGGCATTATTGAGGATTAATTCAAGGCCAGGTACCAGTTAGAAACTATCACTAGGAGAGTAATGATGATTTTAGAGCTCCTTTGGGGAAAAGGAGATAGGGGTGTTTAAATCCAGAATTTGATTTCAGTTTCAGATAAATTTAAGATCTACCTTTGAAATATAGCTGGATGAATCAGGAGAAGTTTCCCTATCTCTCTAAACCTCAGTTTCCTCTCTGTAATATGGGGGTGATAGTAATAGAATTGCCTTTCATAGTTTGTTGGGGGAACTAAATAAAGTAACATGTAAAAGGCTTAGCAAAAAGTAGTACACCTAGCAAGTCCTTAGACGTGGAGAAGCAGAGACACTGGAGATTTAGAATGTCACTAGGATTTGGTAACTGCATGTGAACAGTGAGGATGAGGAAGGATTTGAAGAACGTATCAAAGTTTCTAAGCTGGGGAATGATAATGCCATTCATGTATACAGGAGCTGGCAATGGTTGAGGGAGAAGAAACACTGAATCTGAGGTTCCAGGAAGACATCTGTGGAGAAGGTTCCCAGCAGGTGCTTAGAAATCTGAGCTTGGCTCAAAAGATACGACGTCTACAATGAGTCATTTAATGCTTGTGTGGACAGATGACTTCTGGGGGCTTTGCTGCAGAAAATAAGTTTATACCTTTGAGCACACCTTTGTACCCCGAAGAGCTGGGGGAAGAGACTCTTCCCAGGCTGAAGGTCCCTTAGGCTAGTGGTTCTCAGGCTTGAGTGCATCAGTATTACCTGGGGCTTCCTAAAGTTTCTGATTCAGTTGGGTCAGGGGTGTGTCCTGAGAAGATGCATTTTTAAGAAGTTCCCAGGTGGTGCTGCTGCTGCTGACCAGGAGACCACACTTTGAGAGCCACTGCCTTTGGCTGTTAGAGGGCTCCAAAAGGAAGCACCTCGTCTGTGCACTGGGGCATAACAGCTCCCACGTGGGAGAGGCCTTCATGATCTGTTTTCCTCGCTCACATGCTTCCCTCATTGGTGAGCACTATTTTAGCTGAGGGCTACTTCTTTCCAAAGGAGTCGTGCTTTCCAAAGATGCCGAGAAAAGAAATCTCTGGTGTTTTATTTACAAGCATGGAATGCCCTGGAGGGAATCCAGAACCTAGCAATGGGGATATCACAATTAAAAACGCTACAGGCAGGAGCCCAGGTGTGTGGAGAAGATAAGGGCTCAGGGCTGCTCCTCCCAAAATGGAGCCCAGGTTCACAGGCTTGGTGTGTGTGTGAGAAACAGAAAGCAAGTGGTTTCTTGATGGTTGGCACGTGGAATATAAGGAAGGGGAGGGGCTGGGGGAAGCAATTCAGAGACTGGTGGCCCCATCATGATACAAATTGAATGTAAACAGATTTTAATTTTTTATATACCACATGTGCTTCAGGAGAAATGAAGGGGGCTCAGGCACAGACAGAAAGGCCAGGGGAAGGAAACTGAGTGCCCAGATAGTCACCCAATATGTATGGAAACTTGAAATACCATAGAAGTAGCAATGATGTCGGTGTGGAAAGGATGGCCTATTCAATAAATGGTACTGGGATATTTATATATCTGCTAGAAAAAAGATTAGATCCTATTAATTTCTTATTTATACTTTCTACAAGTAAGAACAATAACCTGTATAATCATGGTACAACTACCAAAATCAGAAAATTAGTATTGATACATTGCTATCAACTAATTCTCAGACCCCCGTTCAAGTTTCATTAATTGTCCCCAAAATGTCCTCTATAGCAAAAGTATACAGTTCCGAATCTCACATTGCATTTAGTTATGTCTCTTTAGTCTTCATCAGTCTAGAACAATTTCTCAGTCATTTCTTGGCTTTCATAATCTTGACCTTTTGGAATATTATGGGCAAGTTATTTTGTAGAATATTCCTCAGTTTGGGTCTCCTTGATGTTTCCTTATGATTGTATTCAGGTGGTTCTTTTTTGGTAAGAATATTGCAGAAGTGATGCTGTATTTTTCCAGATGCATAAAATGTTAGGCCAAAAAAAAATGATCCTGTAAGAATACCTACCAAATGATTATTCCATTTACATAATATTTAAAAAACCTACAAAACTAAATAATATATTTTTAGAGACACATACATATTTAGTAATTCTATAAAGAAAAGGGAATGATAAACACAGATTCAAGATAATGATAAACAAATTCAGGATAATGATAAAATCTAGCAAAGAGGGAGAGGACTGTGATTGGGAAGGAATTTACAGTGACTTCATCTGTTATTTTATTCTTTATACTTTATACATAAATTGCAAATTTTCCTTGGTGTACATGAAATATTTCACAATTGAAAAAAAGACTCCTTACTTCGGACCCTCGTTTTTCTGACTTTGCAGTGGGCTAATGGAAATGTTTCTTCTGGACTTTGAGCTAGCATTTGAAGTCCATGCCCTAGCTCACAATGACGGTGCAGAATGATAGGTCTATGTATACCTGTTGTCCAGCCTAATTATTAATAGTGCTTTCAAAAGTGCTCCTGTTTGGAGGATAACTTACATTAAGTTCTACCCACATGTATATGGCACACTCCTTCTCAAGAGTTCAAAGCACTTAAAGAACTATTTCCTCCTCTCAGACCTCATCCATTTTGTAGATGATGGGGCAGCATCGCTTAAAAAAAAAATCAGTGATTGAACTTGTTCCTGCAGTTGGTCAGTCCCAAAGCTGGAACAGGGCAAGGGTCCGGAGCGGTTGTGTCACAGGAGCAATGCTTTTATTTCTATAAACAAGCCCATGTGGGAAGGTTGCTTGGTAAGTACACTGTTAGATCAACTGGAGTTAGTCGGAGTTAGTGCTATCAGAGTTTTACAAACTTTAACCAGACTCCATTTAGCCTTTCTCTCT